TATATATATATATATATATAGTCTTGTTTATTGTAAATTTGTGTTTGTACATTGAGAGCGGAGTGGAAACCGGAGACAAATTCCATGGACTAAATACATACAACAGTCACTGTATTCTATTAATGTTCGACCAATTGTTGTGGCACATGCCGTGATGACAGCGGGATACACAAAGTAGTCTTGGCTTCCACCTTGCCATGTCTTTCAGCTCAGTTGGATACAGGATATGTTCCAACTGTATTCACATTCAGTCGCACAGTCTGCTCCAATTTGGACACGCCCCTTAATATGTCCGAAGAGAGGCCTGCAGGAAGCGTCTAGATCCAAATTGGATCCTTTCAACATGGAGGGACAGCACTTCAAGCAAACACATTTCAACCACAAGAATCCCAGAATTCATCCTGTGGTCATTACCCAGATCTTCTTGACCAAAGATGAGGTGAAATGTAGATCAAGTGGTAAATAAAAGCTTTGCCTTCAGGCCCGGCTCACTACCAGTGGTGTCTACTTGTCGACAGCACATACCATGATATACTTGAACTCTGTCACTTAAGGTAGCAACTTGCACCCACTTTGAAGGGGGCACTCTCGAAGTTTTCTGATTATCATGACCACTGACTTGGAGGTCTTGGCTCTCACCCCGTAATATTCAACTCCAGTGTAGTCTTACCTCATGCGATAGTGCAACTTGACACTGGTTTCATCCGTGATCTTGAACTCATAGTTGGGAGGGTACCACATGCTAGTTGTCTCATCATACAGGGCAAATAGGTTATGGCACAAGGGAGAGATTGCTGAGAAAGGGAAAAGAAAAGAACAACAAAAGACGAATATTCAGACCAGCGATTTGATTGGTAGGAAGGCTGATTAGCAGGCCTGTCTCTGTGAATATCAGTGCCAATCTATGTAAAAACTGTAAAGAACATTATGTTATCATTATGTCATTACCGCAGGAATTACAAAATAATTTTTACTTGAATTGGCCACCAGCGGTTCACTGCTTGGGTTAACAATAAGGAGCCAACTGATCAGTCACTCACAGCATTTCTTGGCGGCGTCCACGCAGAGCTCCAACGCGGTGTAGCAGCCCTTGAAGTACTCTAGCTGGTGCACCTCCGGTGTGTACAAGTGGATCTCCAGGCCCTGAGTGGATGTAGGAGAAGAGGAGAGCTGGGCCCTCTTACTGGACCTCCTCATCTTCCCACAGAGTTGCCTGCTCAACTCCATCACCCACAGAGTTGGCATTCAGACACTGGAAGTAAAGATAAAAAAAAGAAAGCGGGGAGTCAGTGGGGACGTTAGAGTAAACTTCTTGGCTTTCATAATGCCAAGAAGATGTTCATATATA